TAAACATATAATATTATTACTAGAAATTTTGATTAAAAAAATATTTTTTCAGTAATAATATTTTTACATAATAATAAATAATATTTATAATAGTAATATATTTACAATTAAATAAATTGAGTAAAAGAAAATTAGTATAAAAAAAGAAAAAGACAACAAAGAGACAAAAATACAAAAAGTAAACAAAAAAACATCATTATATAAGGGGATAGGGGTGCCATTGGCAAAGGGTATGAGTGCCATTAGCCTCCCCATGTTGGAAACTCATGGTTAAAATAAATTTGTAAAGTTACCTTTCTAAGTTTTATTTTAAATATTTAATCAAAAACTTGTTTTTATAATAATAATCTATATGATTTTTCTTTTTACAAAATGAATGTACATTTTTTAATATCATTATCTGATTAGATAATTATAGAAAACATATATCTATATATACAATTCTAATATGACACATAAATTTATCGTTTTATATTATGTCTTAAAAATGCTGCATTTTCATCGTGACGTGCAAGGCTTAACCTGACCTTGTCGTCATGCCTTGCCTCTTTTAAAATCTTACATGTATCTCGACTAATCTTAAGAAACCTGAAAAAATATCCAAGAAAATGTTTCGGATCCTAAGAGAACTCAATCTCATGATCTTTGGGAAATCCTATCCCATTGAGAACGGGCCATTGACGAACACAGACCATACATGTGTCATCAGATTTGATAATTGAAAAAACAAATTGGTGCCATTTTATAACAAAATATCTCTCCTGTACCAAAATAAGGGAGACAAGTTTAGTGTATGATCTTATCTTCTTCGATTCTAAATAGTAAAATTATTCATTCTCTTTAATTTAAAACAAATACAATATTTAACATCACATAAATGATTATGTTTTATTATAAGTGAAATATCTAGTTACGAGACTGGAATAACCCGTTTAATTTGTTTTAGATTTTGAAAGTAAACTCAAAGAACATCACGTTATTAGCCATCTCCTATGCACATAATTAAAGATTCATGAAATCAATGGTGGATCCAAGGAATTTTCTGAGTGGGTGTACTTTTAAGGTTAATCAAAGGTCAACAAGGTCGTAGTTTAACTTAAGGAAAAGTCAATACGAGTTTGACTAGAGGAAAATTAAATTGATACAATACATTTCTACAAATGAAACCGATTTTTTTACTATTGTGTAGCAATGAATTTAGCAAAATTGGATTGGATTTATTGGGTTTTCTTACAAATTCGTCAATAATTCCACTTCAGGTAGGGCATATGCAATGATATGCTCCATGATGCAAACTTATCCCCTGTTTTTTTAAGAGTGTCATAGGCTATGCCGAGATTAATCTCGACAAATTGTAACTGCAAAAAATTAGCTATGATAAACTCAATGGTCACAATTGTTGTATAAACTTGAAATCGAACCTTAGGCAGAGAAGATATTCCACTACATCCCTCAAGGCCTCAACCACTACGCCACAACCCTTGTGGTTAGTTAGTTCTCCCCTGTTAATGGTTGTGAAACAAGCACCATACTTGGATTATCTAAATAGTGCAAGAAATAAGGATGAAGACGATCATCAATAAGTAGGATTTATGAACTCAATGAAGAAGAATCGGTTTCTTGAGAAATTGATTCAGCCATTGAGAATAAAAAAAAAATTCTATGAACAAGACTCAACAGATGCTATGCTCTGAGATCATATGAAGAAATGAGGAAAAATGTACATTGCTTGAACTGAATTAACCCGGACTAAGAGGTACAACCTATTTATACATAATTAATAAAAACTCTACTCACCACCGAACAACTGTAACAAAATCTAAATTCAAAAACTAACAAAATTACCCTCAACCATAACCGCAATATAATTGACGGTAAAATCAAAGTAAATGCATCTTACAAATAAAAATCAAGTCCACAATTTCTTTATAACGATTAAATTAACAAAACCATTACATAGAACAAATCAGTACCATTATCATCAAGAAGGCATTAACATTATTCATACCCTTTATTTATTTTTTTACTTTCTTTTGCACAAAAGTTCAAGAAATTATTACAGACGCAATTGACGTACGAGCAAATTCTATTACATGTAGAGGTTTTTATCTGGTAATCTTTGGGAAGGGAGAGCTACTAGTGGTTTTCTTTTCTTTAGGACTGTAACAACCCAAAAAAAATAAAAATAAAAAAAACAGTAATTACATAAGAAGGACCATTTGTATCAATACAAGAAAGAAAAGGGATATGAAATGCTTATATTCTTAAGCTTGCACGTGGCAAACAGAAGGTTGCAATAAAAGTCAAGTAAATGTAAGTCGCATGGGTTTCTTCTTCAGTTAGATGGTTGCAAGACTAGATGTAGATAAATGTGGAGGCTGTTTTATAAAAAAAATGGTCGACGAGTACAACGGGCAGTAAGTAGATAAAAACGACGGAAACAGGAAACAAAGATTTGGTGCGTTCGGTAACGAAACGGTAAGCCTTCTATGCTTATTACTTGTAATTTTACTCATGGAAGTTTCTGATAAGAGTTGGTCGGGGCTTCCGTTTTGGTGAGTTCCCCTAGGCGGTGTTACAAAACCGC